GATTGTTTTCATGGTTTTACAGTTTGCATTAGGCCCTTGATGGTTTGCATTTTATATGTTCTGGTATTAGATTGCTTATGTTGGTTTGTGTTTTGGTTGCTTTGTAGGCAATGGCACCTGCTAAGAAACGTGCAGTAAAAGGGAAAGAAAAGGAAAAAGTATCGACACCTAAGAAAGATGGTGTTTCTCCTGTGGCTGGAAAGCCGGATAAGAGGCATCGCAGTAATACTAATCGTATTCTTGCCATCATGGAAGCTGACAGTACAACTGAAGAAAAACTGCAGATGCTTGATCCTCTGGGTTTTAGGGGTGTGTCGAGGGTTAAGCTTACGAGACTCCCGGATAATTTTACTGAATGGATTTGCAAAAGTTTTGATGTCAGTTCAAGGTCTTTCCCGCTGCTTCGGTCAGGGAAGTTTAGAATTGGAGAGGCAGATGTGGAGAGAGTTTATGGTTTGCCGCGTGGACCGTATGCTGTTAAGCTGGATATGTTTAGTGCATCCCAGAGGCACAAGTGGGGAATTGAGTTAGGGCTTTGCAATACTAGGAAAGGAAAGGCGACATTGGCGAATGTTAAACTGGCATTGGAAGAGGAGAGGGACAATAAGAAGTGGAGGGATCTTTTTGTGCTGTATGCAATGGAGGCAGTTCTGTGCCCCAGTGGAAATTTGAAGATTGACCTCTCCTATGCTGGGTTTTTGCAAGATGAAATGGTCGATGACTTCAACCAATATAATTGGTGTAAGCATGTGGCTGACCATTTCAATGAAAGTATGGTTGAAGTGGTTCAATCAAAATCAAAGTTCCCTGGTGACGTTCATCTTCTTTTTGTAAGTAGAAAAATATACCTCTTTTCGAAGTTTGGTTTACTGTTTCATTTATGGTTTGTTTATTGACGAATGTGGTGTGGTTGAAGTTGTTTATGGTTTGTTTAATAATATTTATGGTTTGCTTTTTGCCCCCCTTTGTTATAATGTTTCTGGTATAGTTTATCATTTATGGTTTGTTTATTGACGATTGTGGTGTGGTTGAAGATGTTTGTGGTTTGTTTAAAGCTATTTATGGTTTGGGTTCCCTCCTGTTATAATGTTTCTGCAGTTTGTCATTTATTGTTTGTTTATTGACGATTGTGGTGTGGTTGAAGATGTTTGTGGTTTGTTTAAGAGTATTTATGGTTTGGTTTTGCCCCCTGTTCATTTTATGTGGTGTGTATTATAATCTTTCTGGCACGGTTTGTTTGTGGTTGCTTGACTTCTGTCTGTTTGTCTGTGGCAGATTTCGATTCTTGATCGTTTGAAGAACCCTCCTGAGTTGCCCATACCAACCTGTAGGCACAGGTCGTACAAAGTCGCAAGTGCTGCTTTTCAAGTACTGATGGAAGAAGGTCATCTCTCTATTGGTCATCGAGATGTAGTGGCGGAAGAACAAGCAACCACCAGTCAACCAATGGGACGAGGACGTGTGAAGGGTACAAAGAGGAAAAGGTCAGTAGATGATCTTGATATGGTGAGGGAAGGGGATCTTCCGAAGCTTCCCTATCTTGACATCAACTTGGATGGTATTCATTCGGTTGAAGATGTGAGTATTTTTTGCTGTTTTATTTGTTTTATGGCTTTCTTTAGCATACTTTCAGTGTGCTTTAAAAGGATAGTGGTTTGCATTAGTTTGTTTACGGAATACTTTATTTAATTCATGTGTTGGTTAGTTGTGTTTTCTGTTGTTTGTTCTTTGGGTTGCTTTAGTGTACTTGTGGTTTCTGTTAAAAGAATAGTGGTTTGCATTACTTCGTTAAAGGAATGCTTTATGGTACTCAACGTTTGGTAGGTGTTTTTTTGTGAGAATTCAAACATATGTGGTTTGTATACGTGTGTCTTAGGTGTTCATTAAAAGGAATTTGAGATTCTTTAGAAGGTTTATGGTTTGCTTTTGGGCTGTTTTCGTGTTTTTGTAGGCATATCAGTTGAAGAGTGACATGGAAAGTTATAAGAGGGCTTTGTTGAGGATGGCTACTCATTACAGTTCGAGCATTGAACAAGTTGATGAGCATATAAAGATGCTGGAGGGGCAGCAACCAGAGGATAGTCCTGAAGATAATGTCGATTTCACTGATACTGTTGAGGATCTTGCTGTTGGTAAGGGAACCAATGATGTCGGTCGCAATGCAGATGCTGCCAATGCTGATGATGAGACTGGTGTTAAGAGAGTATCAGATCCAAAGTCCCCGGGTCTTGATGATTTATCAATGGAGATGGATAAGAATGGTGCGCCGCCAGATGTTGGTCGCAATGCAGATGCTGCAAATGCTGATGATGAGACTGGTGCTAAGAGAGTATCAGATCCAAAGTCCCCGGGTCTTGATGATTTGTCAATGGAGATGGATAAGGATGGTGCGTCGCCAGATGTTGGTCACAATGATCCTGCTGGCATTGCTGATGATGATACCTCTGCTAAGGGAGTATCAGATTCGAAGGGGCTTGATGATCATCTTGATAATCTGACAATGGAGATGACACAAAAAAGTGTTGATTCTGAGAATGCTAAGAAGGTGGAGATGGACAGCTGTGAGGGAAAGGGAGAAGGTGATGATGGAGATGACAATGTTGATGATGTTGACGCTGCTAAGTTGGATAACTTGGTTGAGAAGGTCGTAAAGGTATTTTTACTGTTTTGTGTTTGAATATTTGTGGTGTGGATTATACTGTTTTTGGTTTGTTTTTCATGTCTTTTGTAGTAGGTTGTTTTGCATTTGTTAGTAGTGTGGTTTTCATATATCTGGTTTTGTTAAAAACTTTTGTGGTGTGGTTTCTGTAGTCTGCTATGGGGGATGTTCGTGAAGATGTGGTGGTTGATGAGAAAAGGAAAGAAGCTGATGCAGATTTACCATTGAGTCAGCTATTTGAGAATAGGAAGGGAAAGGTAATTTTGTTGTACAATGTTTCAGTTTTGGTTTGTTTTTGTAGTGTGGTTTATCGCATTTGTGGTTTGTGTTAGTTGTCTTTTGTACTGTTTTATCTAATTTGTGGGTTGCTTTAAAAATCAGAAAAAATTGAAAGTGAAGAATGCAGGAGGCTCATCAGGTGTTGATGATGATGTGTTGAAGGGTGCTGTGTTGCGATATGCAAGGGTTTCAACTAACTTGTAAGTTAATGTGTATATATTTCATACATATGTGGTTGTTTGTGTATATATATATTTATATATAGTGCTTATTGGTACTTTTCTAATGCCCGACTGTTTTGTTTGTTATGGAATTATGAAAAATAGGAAGGAAATCCTTTTCAGTCGTGTTGATGGATACGATTGCTTGTATAGAAAGGATACAGAGACTTTGGCACATGGTCAATGTGTGAGTGTGGATGTTGTTGACTGCTATGCTGCCTATCTGAATCGGGAGCAAGTGAGAAGCGGGCGACTGAAAAGATGGGTGTTCTATTCAGGGCTGGCGGTGAGTTACATTTTCTGCTAGTTCTGGTTTGTTTTAGTGTTTTTGTGGTGTGCATTATAATACGTCTGGTTTGGTTTAAGGTTTTTGTGTTGTGCATTATAATACGTCTGGTTTGTTTTAGGGTTTTTGTGGTGTGTATTATAATACTTCTGGTTTGTTTTATGGTTTTTGTGGTGTGCATTATAATACGTCTGGTTTGGTTTAAGGTTTTTGTGTTGTGCATTATAATACGTCTGGTTTGTTTTAGGGTTTTTGTGGTGTGTATTATAATACTTCTGGTTTGTTTTATGGTTTTTGTGGTGTGCATTATAATACGTCTGGTTTGTTTTACTGTGTTCTACCTTGTAGCAAAGAGTGCACACGATAGTGAAAGAGTCTGGACCACTGCCTAATTTTTTTGAAGAGACTGACGAAATCATTACAAGTTGCAAGTGGATACCAGATAATGTGGACTTCTCAGAATGTGATTATGTATGTATTTTTTTTAGTCACATTTGCTACATTGTTTCATGTGTTTTTTTTCTTCATTGTGCTTTTGAAGTACTGACTTGTTTTTGTTTTGTACTATGCAGTGGATATTCCCCCACTGTTCTGATGAACACTACAGGCTGTATGTAGTGAATCTGAAGAACAAACGGTATGATTATCTTGACAGCCTTTACCCTGATGAACTTAATACCAAGTTTCGTGCTGTTGCGGATATGGTGGTCCGCTATGCCACAGAATACATTCCTGCCTGTAGACAAGAGTCCTTCAAGTTTGAAGAATTCAAGTGGCTTAGAATGCGAGGGTTAAGACAACGTGGTGGGGTTGACTGTGGTGTTTTTGCTATGAATTTTGCTGAGTTTTGGGAAGGCAAACTGATGCCAGGTATGAAGAATTGGCAAAAAGATATCAATCAGAGGCGGGATGAGATCACATTAACATTGCTGCTGAATGAGGAGAATAGTGTACTTGAAGAGGTGAAGAAGAAGAGTTTGGAGTTTGATCGCAAGGTGGACTAGCTGATTTTAGGATGCATTTGCAAGAACAGTTTCAGATTTCAGTGTGTTAATATGTGTTTTAGTGTGTTAGTGTTCTGTATATGAAGTGTTGTGGGTGTGTATTATAAGACAAGTGGATTGTTTAACGTGTATTGTAGTGTGGTTCATAAGGTTTATAGTTTGTTTCTGTTTCCCTGGGTTATACAATGTATGGTTTGTTTTTGTACATATGTGGTTTGCTTAATGAGTGTTCTGGAAAGTTTCCATATCTTTGTGGTTTGGTTTTGTTAAGAGGTTTCTTAGTTTGTTTTCTTCCTGTATGGTGTGTATTATAAGACAAGTGGATTGTTTAACGTGTATTGTAGTGTGGTTCATAAGGTTTATAGTTTGTTTCTGTTTCCCTGGGTTATACAATGTATGGTTTGTTTTTGTACATATGTGGTTTGCTTAATGAGTGTTCTGGAAAGTTTCCATATCTTTGTGGTTTGGTTTTGTTAAGAGGTTTCTTAGTTTGTTTTCTTCCTGTATGGTGTGTATTATAAGACAAGTGGTTTGTTTAACGTGTATTGTAGTGTGGTTCATAAGGTTTATAGTTTGTTTCTGTTTCCCTGGATTATACAATGTACGGTTTGTTTTAGTACATATGTGGGTTGTTTTGATGTATCTGTGTTATTGTTTGTCCCAAAACCTTCAACTGTTTATATTTGTCTCATAGTTGTCATTGAAATCTAAAAGTCTATGACAGATAAAAAAACACGGATAACAACAAGGAGACTAATCATCACTCATTTTTGCTTTTGTAACGCTTGTTGGCAGCCTGTTCATCAATTCTTTGCTTTCTAGCCCTCTCCAGCGCTACCTCAAGTCCACCTTTTGGCCTCTTCTTTGATTTCCATGGGTCTTGTCGAGCCTTGAATCCCTTCACATTGGCATACTTGTCATTTGTAGCTGAAGCAGCAGCGCTTTGCGAGGGTGATGTACTGGTGGTTCCAACTGTTAAAAAAGCAATATGCAAGATACTAGTGAACATAAGTAGGGATTAAGCAATTAGTGGATTGGATTAAGATGTTTATGGTTTGCATTAGCTCATTAGTGGCTTGGATTAAGCAATTACTGGTGAATATAAAAAGAGATGCTAACAAGATGTGTGAAATTACCAGGTGCTGTTTGCTGAGTTTCTTGAGTCTGAAGGCTTTGGAAAGCAAGTTTAGTGAGCTCTGCAATCTTTTCCTTAACCATTGAGAAGACCTTGTCATTCATTGAGACTTTTGTTGCTAGGATAACCATGCTAGCACACAGTTCTTGATACCTCCCTGCATAAGTATCTGTTGCAGCACATTCTGTTGTGTTTATTGTGAACTTCTCTCCAGATTTGGCATCTCTCGTCCATCGTGGCAGAATGTATTCCTTAGGGATAGTCAATTGCTCAATATCATCACCATTGAATCCAACCATCTCTATCTGCCTGATTATATGTCTGCACAACCAGCCTGAACTTTCAAACAAACGACATGAGCACTTGTATTTCTTCTCCTCTTTGTTCACTAACACGACTCTTTTGTCGAATCCTCCTAGTTTCTTCACTTCATAAGCTGTCATTCCATCTCTATCCATAGATTCATTCCGGAACACAAAAAAAGCAAGGCTTTCTGAATACTCCTCAAGGAAAGAACTGTAGATCTTAGTTGTGTATAATTTCGCGACTTGCTGAACAAGTGGGCTTCTGTCATACCTGTTGGAAGATGACATGCAACATACAATCATTCATAAGCATCTTGTCTACATTAATGATTTTATGGTATGTATTGTACTGTTTGTGGTGCGGATTGTGGGATTTATGGGTTGTTTTACGTTGTGTGTGGTGTGGATTGTGTAGTTCATGGTTTGTATTAGGTGGTCTGTGTTGTGGACTGTAGGGTTTTTGGGTTGGTTTAGGTGGTATCTGGGTTGTTTAAGCTTGTGCGGTGTGCATTGTGGTGTTTATGGTTTGTATTAGGTGGTCTGTGGTGTGGATTGTAGGGTTTTTGGGTTGGTTTAGGTGGTATCTGGGTTGTATTCAACTGTTATGTGGATGCATTCTACAGTATAAAAAGTTCAAATAAAGGAAGTAATACGTACATGGTGTTTGGGACTGTGTTTGCCATTTGATAATCCATGTCCATTTCGTCTGATCTTTTCCGTTCGACAAACTTGTTGAAGTATGTGAAGAACTCAACTAGGTTGTCATCTGATTGAAGGTAGTTTCGGAGGTTGCTGTTACAAGACTCACTCAGCTGTGAGCTTCGCATACCAGCTGTGAAGTGGTCCTTAATCCATGCTGAAGACCACTGTTTCCTCACCTTGTAAATTGAATCCAACCAGTTCCTTGGATTGGTGCCTTCTTCTGGATAATGTGTGTCTAGCAACCTTGACCAATTGTACTCAAATTCTTCCTCATTTTCTACCCCAAAAGTGACATATTGCAGATCTTCTAGAATGTTTGTGTTTGTGGTGTCGAGATGCTTCATTACATTCTGCTTGATATGAAAAGTACATAAGCCATGGAATGCTTCAGGAATGACGGATCTAATCCCAGCGGCGATTGCAGCAGCTTGGTCGGTGAATATTGATGTTGGTCGGGTGCCTGACATACATTTCAAGAATGCATCGAAAAACCACTTGAATGTAGCGGTTGTTTCATCATAAAGGAGAGCAGCCCCGAAGATGCAGAGTGCTCGATGGTGGTTGAAGCCAACAAACAAAGCTGTAATTTAAAAATAAAAAAAAGAACATAGAATTAAACATTGAAACAAACAAAAGACTGTCTTTTATGATATATATGGTGTGTTTCAGGACGTGTTTGGTATGGTTTATAAGGTTTCTGGTTAGGATTCTCAAAATGAATGTTTCATGTTTTTTTGTTGTTTGTTTTAAGAGTGTTTGGGGTGGTTTTATGTTACTTATGGTATGCATTGGGTAATGTTTGGTATGCATTCAACTTCGAAATATCAAGAAAATTAAGCAAGGAATACCTCTTAATGCAAACCACAAACCTTTTAATGCATACCACAAATCTTATAAAACAAACCACAAACCCCACAAAGCAAACCACAACATTTGCGGAAGCAGAGACCATAAACCTCTTAATACAAACCACAAACTTCACAAAGAAAACCAGAAACCTCACAAAGCAAACCACAACATTTGCAAAAGCACACCAGAAACCTCCTCATGCATTGTGTAATGTTTGGTATGCATTCAACTTCGAAATCTCAAGAAAATTAAATAGTGCAAGGAATACTGACCTAGTGGACGATAATTCTGGTTTGTCCTGTATGTTGTGTCGAAGCTGATCGTATCTCCAAAGCAACTGTAGTCAAACCGCATTCTTGCATCAGCCCAGAATATACTTGCAATATCTTCGTTACTATCTACCTCAATTTCATAGAAGAATGATGGATTCCTGTAAGCTTCGTGGCGAAAATATTCAAGAAGTATAGTTGCTTCGCCTGGTTTCATTGATTTCTGCCTTGTCCCTGTGATATAGTTCTTCAGATCATGAGGGGTAAAAGGTACATTCTCCCTCCCCCCTGAAGTTGTGGTGAACAACTCATACGATTTCCGTAGTGAAACTCCACAATCTGCATGCACTTGTGCGACCATTGCATGCATTTCTGAGATCCCCTTGTTGGACCTCAATAGATGTTTGAATTTTGCAGGGAGGAGATCATGGTTGTGTTCTGTTATCCACTTGTCCAGCAGCCATTCATCCTTCTCGATATCATATCTAAATTTGATTATAGCTGGGCAGCCAACTCTAGTTTCTGGTACAGCACGTTGATAAGCCTTGACATCGATTGTTCCTTTATTCTTGGGATTTGACTTGCTTGTGGTCTTGTATCCTTCTTTGCTGCAGCAATACCTAGCATATCGTGCTGTTTTGGTTGGCTGTCTTTTTGTAGAACGTTTGACAGCTCCCATGTCCCTCACGCTGAAGCCAAGATCGTGAGCATAGTTCTTGTAGAATTGTTTTGTTTCCTCAATGGTTTTGAATGCCAACCCCAAACAAGTGTAGTCTAACTCGGTCCTGTTTGATGTCACACCTGTAAGCAATGATGAAAGAAATGAGCACTTGATCATTTCATCTTGCGATAATATTTACAAGAAAAGTGAAATGTGGTTTGCATTGTAGTTATTCATGATGCTTTTATGACATTTATGGTGTGCATTACAGTGTATGATTTTTTTTACAAACAGATTGTGGAATGTAACGATTTACGTTTTAATGGTGTGTATTGCAGGTGTTTTGGTGCGTTTAAGAAGTTTTATGGTTTGGTTTTTAAGTGTTTTGGTTGATTGTCTCTTTTTTTCCTGTGGTTTGTTTTGGGAAACATGTGGTGTGTTTGGCGATGCTTTTGGTATCGTTTGTGGGATTTTTGTGGGCGGTTTGATCATTTCATCTTGCGATGATATTTGCTAGAAAAGTGAAAAGTGGTTTGCATTGTAGTTATTCATGATGTTTTTATGACATTTATGATTTGCATTACAGTGTGATTTTTTTTTTACAAACAGATTGCAAAAAGTTTTTTTGCAAACAGATTTAGGTTTTAATGGTGTGGATTGGAGGTGTTTTGGTGCGTTTAAGAAGTTTTGTGGTTTGGTTTTTAAGTGTTTTGGTTGATTGTCTCTTTTTTTCTTGTGGTTTGTTTTGGGAAGAATGTGGTGTGTTTGGCGATGCTATTGGTATCGTTTGTGGGATTTTTGTGGGCGGTTTGATTGGAAGTGTTTATGATATGGTAAATGGCTTGTATAAGCGTGATTATGGTGCTCATTGTAAGAAAACAGGAAAGGATTGAGTTGAGCGTACCTTCTTCTTGTTCATTGTTGCCACTGTTGGTGGAAATAGAGGTTTCCAGCTGATATCCGCCTTCTGTTGCTTCAGAAGATGTTGCAATTTGCACGAGTTGTTGAGCATCTACAGAACCAACAGAAACTTCATCTACACGATTCTCGTCCATCGTCAATGTCTTAGCTGCGATCAGGAGCTTTCTCCGCCGTCGCCGCCGTTGCGATAGCTGGTGCGATCAGATCTCGTCGCCGCCGTTGCGATCAGATCTCGTCGCCGTCGTTGAGATAGCTGGTGCGATCAGATCTCGTCGCCACCGTTGCGATAGCTGCTGCGATGACGATCTCGTCCCCGTTGCGGTAGCTGCTGCGTCAGGATCTCATCGCCGCGCGTTGCAATAGCTGCTGCGCGGGATTTCGTCTCCGCCGTTGCAGTAGCTGCCGCGATGACGATCTCGTCGCCGTTGTGGTATCTGCTCCGTCAGGATCTCGTCGCCGCGCGTTGCGGTAGCTGCTCCGTCACGATCTCGTCGCCGCCGTTGCAGTAGCTGCTGCGATGAGGATTTCGTCGCCCGTCGTTCAGCCTCGGCGCCGCGCGATTGGAGAGAGAATGGTGAGAAACGAGCTGCACTTTTTCGGACAAAAGGAGCTGCAACTTTTCGGTAGGACAAAAATACCCTTCCTTTGTTTTTTACCCTAGTCAACGCATGAATTTCAAAAGTATGCAGAATGGTGGGTTCCTATTGGTCCACCTATGTTGTTGTTACAATAACAACAAATATAGTGTTGTTATAATATCCGGTCCCGTTAACAACAAAGATGGAGGAGGAGGTGATGGCGGCCAGGTTTGGGATGAGATGCTATCTTAGAGATGTAAAGGTAGTTACCAATATACACTCTGCAGGGAGAAACTCATGGATCGAGCTCATAGAAGCTGAAAGCACTGTAAGTTGACCGCTATCCAATGTTCATGAATAAAATCTGAGACGTCTTGGATGCAAACCATGCTGAAACTGAAGCAGAGAAGCAAATTCTTACCGTTATGGCATGAAGAGTCACCTGCAAAATTAACAAACAAATGGTCTCCAATAGGGCAAGCTCACTCTTTAGTTAGAGAAGGCAAAGCTGGCGGTGATGGATATAAGGGAGGGGAAGAGGAGGACAACCACATGCCTAGCACGAGTAACTTCACCTGCAAAACAAACACACAACTAACTACGAAAAGGCTTATCCAAGAAACAAACAAACCTCTACTATTGTGCAATAAACATAAAAACACAAAAAATGAGACCATAAATTGATACTGCAAACAAAATGCTCCAGTTCTTCCACTTAGTTTTAAGTATACTTATTAGCTAGCAAAACATGAACAAATAACCCTCTAGCTTGCATAGTTGACCCCATAATTTTTTTATAAATTGGCCCCATAAATATTAATGAATCATCTAATAAAAAATTCGGAATATAAAACAAGAGCAAAGAGGATACAGAAGATGCCTAGAGTAAGAGGATAACAAAAGGCTAGAGACAGTGATAAAGTCCAAAATGAAATAAAAACAATAGATCTGATCAAGCTAGAAGTAAAATAGGCCCAACCCAATTAGCCAAATGAAGTAAAATGAGTTTTTTTTTTTAAGGGAAGAGGATTCTACTTCTTCTGCTGCATTTTATTCATAAGCCACATAGCTTTTGTCAAAAGAAACCTCCTGAAGTGCGGCAGGGGGGACATCATCTACCCAATTAATACAATCATTCAGATTAAAATGACTAACTTGTTTCTCCCCGTTGCCTAGCGGAAAAACACTACAATTCATTAATGAGGTCGCCGGTTCAAGTCCCAACCATTTTTACTGTAAAAAAAAAAAGATTAAAATGACTATGAGCTAAGATGTGGGGCACCATATTGGCCAATCGAGGAGAAAATTTTCAACCACGACAATCATTCTCATCTGATGCTAGCTTGATGTTTTCACAGGGAATGCCAATTTGTTAAAGATCTTCCTCGCCATTCAGTCTATTGATCAAACTTAAGCAATTTGATTCAAGTATATATAGGGTCCCAATTGAAATTCTTTCATCTTCTCAATGGCAAATAGTAATGCATTCGCCTCTGCCGTTTCAGGAGACCATCACATTGCCACTCTTTTAGCTGCTACCAAAGTGACATTTCTTTCCCAATTTCTCACAACTAGCCCCATGCATGTTCCCTCCTCTTACAGACAACCTGCATCCATATTTACCTTTAGATAGCCAATAAATGGGGGGTTCCACTTCATCTCTTGTCAAGTTTGACTTCCACATGATGTTGCAATACTCTGTTGGGCATCTCTGTGCGCTTGGATGAAAATTTGGGACTGTCAAAACACCTCCTCTTCTTGATGTGTAGGGCCATTATGCTTATGGTTATTACGTTCGATCCAAATATACCACAAGAGAGCTGAAATTCTACTCATAGTCTTCTCATCTTGTTCGGCCAAAAGTTTCCCCAACCAAACGTCCATGTTGCAGTCATCTGTCATTGGCAGCTTCCCACCCTAGCTACTCCGTCGTCATATCCGAAGTGACCATTTACAGCAAATAAAGCGATGGACTTGAGTCTCTTTTTGGCCATAGTAAGGCATATGACTCCACTTTATCCTTAAGTTTCTTTTCGACATTTGCACTTGTTGGTAGGATATTATGCATAAGTTTTCAGAGGAAGTAGTTTACCTTCAGTGGGATTTGGAATTTCCACAACTTGTCCCAAGTGTTAGAGTTGAGCACCATTGGTTGAATATCCTCCTCTTCCTCCTCGTTCATCTGGCTCCCTGCCTGCATATTTATATCCAGTTCTCTTCGATATCCTATTTTAACAGTGTATTTACCGTTCTTAGGCCCCGTTTAGTATCATTTTGTTACTGTTGTGGTTGCAATAGTGTTGTGTAAACAGATGTACAACCACAACAGGAAAAAAACAGAAAACACAAACCTGTTTAGTTGATAAATCTGAAAAATCATGAAAGCTGGCAACAAGAAACAAAAACGTGTTTAGTTACTACTATAAGAACTAAAACCCAGAAAAGAGAGATGTCCTCAATATTAGGCACTGCGAATGATGCGGCGGCGGGGAGGGGAAAGGGAGGCGGTGATGCCTAGTTGAGCGGGGCATCTGCTGGTGCGGCGGGAGGGTGGTCGTGGCGGGAGGGGAAAGGAAGGCGGCGGCGCCTGGCCGTGCGGGGCGTCTGTTGGAGCGGCGGGAAGGTGGTCGCGGCGGGAAGGGAAAGGGTGCCGGCGGGAGGTTGGTCGCGCGGGGGCTTCTGGTGGCGGCGGCCGGTGCGCGGGGTGGGGAAAGGGAGGCGGCGGGAGGGTGGGTGAGAGGTTGGCGACGAGGCGGCTGGGGGAAAGGGTAGAGGGTAGAGGGTTTGGGAGAAAATGAGAGGGTAGAGGGTTTGGGGGTAAAAAAAAAAGATGAAATTTTGGTTGAGGTGGGATTCAAACTGTGAGTTGGTTTAATGAAAACAGACCCTCAACTAGTAGAAAACCGTGTAAAACAACTACAAGAATCAGATCCAAAGCAATAAATTGTTGTTTCTCTAATTTGGGCCTTGTTGTGCAAATCTGATTCACAACAAAAAATAGAAACCCAACTAAACATGTTTTTTTCCCCTTGGTTTCTCCAATCTTTAAAAACACATCAGGAAACAAAAACAGACAACAATACTAAACGAGGACTTAGTATCCATCCAACACATGACATCAGGAACATGGTTGAGGGGGATAGGGATTGCCATGATGGCTAATTGCTCTTCTGGAGTGAACATAACTTCTAAGAGATCCCTCCTCCTGTATCTTTGCTCTTGATCGATCAAATAAGATACTCGTTCCACGCTCCTTTGCCACTCGGATATTTGGTAGGGTTTATTCGTGGAGAGGTCAGGGATCCATTTATCTTACTATATATTAATGTTTGTGTCTATTCCCACTCTCCACCTACTCCCAGCTGAGATCATATCTCTTGCCGATAGGAGACTCCGCCATATATAGCTAGGCTACCACCCCACTGAAGCTTCCATGATCAAACAATAAGGGAATAGTGAGCCTTGATTACTCTTCTTACCAAGGAATTTGGATTTTGGAGGATTTTCCATAACTGTTTACCTAACAAAGCAACATTGAAATCTTCCAGGTCACGCAAGCCAATCTCCCTTCATCCTTGGTTTTGCAGAGTTTGTTCCATTTCATCCAGTGGGTTCGACCTTCATTACCTTGTTGACCCCACCACTAGTTTGCGATCAACATGTTCATCTCATGCACTAGGCCCTTTGGTAATATGAAAACAGACATTGCAAAGTTACCTTGATCTAGTGCCACAGATTTAATTAGCACATCTTTCCCATTGATCCCACCCCAGATACTTTCATGCTTCGAGACTTTCCTGATACCCAAACTGGCACTTATCTCTTGCCTTTGATGTGGTAAGATGTTCTTACTGAATGTCAGCTCTGACTTGCTTAAATTGATCATCTTCCCCAACTCAGCTTCATAATCCTGTAAAATTTGTTTCAGTTTGTTGCGCTCTTGGAGGCTTGATCTAGCAAATAAGATATTGTCATCCGCAAACAGAAGGTGGGAGATAACTATAGCATTCTTTCTAATAGCAATGCCATGGATATCCCCCTTCATTTCAGTTTTAGAGATCATAGAGTATAGTCCTTCCACACACAATAAGAAGAGATCCGGTCCCCTGTCGGTAGGGATGGCAATGGGTCGAGTTGGGTCGGGTTTTGCCAAACCCAAACCCAAACCCATGGGGTTATCCGTGAAAGAAACTGGGGCAAAACCCACTGGGTTTGAAAAACTCAAACCCAACCCATCCGCGGGTTCATGGGTACCCACGGGTTTTTGTCGTAAAAAATTTACAATAACAAGTTCCTATCAAAATTGAAGTCAAATATCAATCTCTCAATACAAATTAACCATATTTAAAACACCATTCTAGAAAATTCAAGCAAATCACAAATTAACTATACAAATTGTTCAACAACAATCTAGAAAACTCAAGAAAATTGAAGTAAATCATAAATTATCTATAAATAACATGATTAATGATAATCGGCTTTGATATATCGGATTCTTGAGCTTTATGTGACTATCCCATGATATATTTAAGCCAATTGGTGCTATTTTAGGGCTCGCTAACCCGAGAATGGTTGAAAAAACCATTACTACATAGTGCCATGAGTTTGATGTGATACAGGTGGAGAAAGCACGAAAAAGGAGCGAGCGCACAAGCAATAAATCGGACTCGAATTACTGGTGGACTACTCACGTGGGCTCAAGGGCCAGGGGGATTAAATTGGACCGGTAATTAATTAAAGAGGCTTTTGGGCTGGTGAACTTTGGGCGGCGGACTCTCTTGAAGGGAGCTGGCGGCTATTATTGGAGGAAGGAATTACTTAGGCCCGAGGTTTTGGGAAGGGACATAACAAAAATTCTAAAAGGGGATCTTCTAAGTTGTTGTGGGCGGAGACAATAAAGGAAGGGAAATAATTCTCGAGGGATTATTTTTTGGACACGGAATTGAAAAAGAATAGAAAAGCAGGCGACAGGGGGAAGGCAATTTGGGTGGCGGATTATTTTTGGAAGA